AGCGGCAACTGGTAGATGGCACAGCCATCGCGATTGCGCGAGCCCCTACCAGAAATTCGTTGCGCCGCCCTTGGGGGCAAAAAACGGTGAAAGCTAACGTACGAAATCAGAGGGCAGCACACGATGCAATCGCACGACCCTGCCCGTGAGCAATCTCCCAACTCATCTCTGTCAGAAATTCGTTGCGCCGCCCTTAGGGGCAAAAAATGGTGAAAGCTAACGTACGAATCCAGAGGGCAGCACAGGATGCGATAGCGCGACCCTGCCCGTGAGCAATCTCCCAATTCATCTCTCCTTGGCACCGTCTAACCGGATCCTTCCCGACAATTTTACTTTTCGAATAAAAAGAATCTAGTCCCTTAAACTACACCATCAGGAATGAAACACCACGAGCGTTCTATTACGATCAGTTTTCATTTTTATTATCACTTGATGACTAGATAATAATATAAAGATTCGTAATAACTGATTTCCGCTAAACATACGAGACGCGCGTCTTTCACGCCGTAGAAATCCGCGTGGGCGGAGTTCGCGGGTTTCCGCTTTATTTATTTATTTATTTTTTTTTACAACTTTTAGCAATATGCACCGGACTTATGCGTTTGTTGATTTCCCAGTGCATACAATTGTATGGAGCCACAGGGCTTTGTGTTGCGCTTCGAGAACAACATTCTCGTTCGTGTTTTCGCCGGTCTGGTGAATGATACATTAAAAATTAAACATTCCATCGAAATAGTTACATCCAACGAGTAATGATACTTAACATTGTTTACAGTAAGAGCCTCGACATTCGAAGCATTTGATTTTTCGCGCGTGAAATTCGCGCATACTTCATCCCGAAGACACTAAGTTATTCAAATGGGTAAATGATTTCTCATTACGTATAACGTTTTATAATTGACATTCATTTGTTCAATTCTTACTTTTAAAAAGATACGAAATAACAAATTAGATAAAGCAAGTCTCGTTAATGAAAAGTCTCATTACACGTTGGATATTTCGCAATCCCACTTTGGCTGCGTATTTGTTCCGCCATTACTCGAGTCGTAATCAATTTTGCCATCCTACACGACAAACTTCGAACTTAAAGACATAAACTCCAGAATTGATCACGCAAACGTTCGTCCAAGGGAGAACGACATTAACATTTTACAAACGGCCCTTATCGAAAGCCCTTCGATTAAGAGCGCGTTATGCTACTTCCTCGAAGATCCTGACAAATTGGACTAAAAAATCATTGCAGTCGAGACTGCCCAAATAAATAATACAAAGAAGCTGTGAACACGCGGCCATCTTGACGTTCGACGGTCATTTAACTTTCTGCAGAAAGATGCTTTTCCTGATTCACGAGGGGGCGAAAAAAAAAAATAAAATAAATGGACGAAACTTTCGCAACGAAGATTAATAACGCGAGACGTCAATCATCCGTACGCATTTTGAGGATAAACAATGAATTGCACAGATCTCGCACGGCCCACAGTTTAGAGACCCTGTAGAGGTGCGCGCTTTTGACAAGTTGTGTTTCGACGAGAAGAGTAAAATCTAAGCGAGACTCGACCGAGTCCCTTGATCTGAACTATTTACAGTACACCCTCCGACCCATAACGTTGTACGAGACGTTGTACGAGAGACTTAAGACTAATTTCGCTACCGAGTCGAATTCGGAGATCCTCCGTGTGCCCCTCGAGATTTCTCTCGAGTTGATATTTATAAATTACATACGATTTATAAATTACTTCTTCTTTTTTTTTTTTCATTCCACGTGCAAGTTGTCACAACGCTATGGCGAATTACTCTTATACTCCTCCCACCCCTCGTTCGCGAGGAAACACGACGAAGACTACCCTCTACGAGTGAAACGTTATAATCTATCGTAACGTGAAACAAGGAACTTGTACATAAATATATCTATATTAGCCGTAATATTAATATGCGTATAGTACGTGTGGTGTAAATGTAATGTATCGTAAGTAATAGAGCCGTTCGATGAGGAAGTCCCTGTCCTGGGGGATCGCTCGGGGCGATCCAGGCCCTTTCGAGGCCTCTTCAGGGGGTCAAGGACGAGCAGACCCGAGGACCCACTTCGAGCCATCTTTGCACGGGTCGTCTCGAAAAAGCCCGTTCGCAATTTATTTCCAATCAATCGTCAATAAGTACTTCAAGAATTACCACGCGTTACCCTTACTAGATTTAAGAACCCTCATCGAGTGTCGCCTTATCCTCGAGTATACTCAGTGAATTGAAATTCGCATCTTCAACGATTGAAATAAATGTTAGGAAATAAATTGCATACATAGGTTTCGTTTAATATCTCGTGCAAAGTTAATTCGAATGGCTCCCAGGTCCGGGGACGAGTATCGAATACAGTGTAGAACGATCCTAGGTCCTGACACTGTACAGATTCCGAGGTAGCACGTGGACGTGCCCCCCTCTCCGTCTTTTCGATTTTCGATTTTCGACTTTCGACTTTGCGCGACCCCAGGGTGGGGCCCTTCCCCTCGAAAGGGGAGGCTCACGCTCCGGCTTCGGGGCAGCGAGGGTTCCCTTGGGAGCGGGCGTCCCGACGCCGCCCGGGGGATGCGGAAGAGTCGCGGCGGCCGCTCTTCTTCAGGTACTGGCTAGTCAATTATTCCACACGGTACTCGGAGGGCCTTGACTTTGGAGGGTTATGTGGCGTAGTGCGTGTGGTGGTGAGGGTGCGACGGAGGCTCCCCTAGCCAGGAATCCGGCGACGGAGGGAAATCGGGATATCCACCGCCCCCGCCACCTCCGCCGCCCCCGCCGCCTCCGCCGCTCGACTCGTTGCTCAGGTCCGACGCTGGTCCCGGGACCATCCCTCCTGGTCCCCCTGTGGAACATTTATTTACATCGTTAAATAACGTTAAATATAAATATATATCCCATCGCTTGCACCGATTGAACGAATTTTTCTTTAGTTTTTAAGCCCCGCTATTATGACTACAGAGTTAAGAGGATATGAAAGAGTCAGCCTATATGTATATATATGCAAGGTCAGGCTATATATATATAATATATAATATAGGCAGAATAGATAGGCTAACTGTGAGAAGTCAAATCGTTGGGGAAAGTATTCTCCGAATTGGCCGTACGGATTCGTTTCATATTTTACCACGTGAGTATGGAGGCCCTAAAGTAGGTCCTGAAACTCCTGAAATTTCATTTTTTCATCCAAAATTTATTTACTTATCATGGACTAGAACCAACATGGCATGGTCCGTGTTCGCTTTCGATGTCTTACGCTTCTTGGAGGGTTAGAATCGATAATGAAGAGTTTCAGGACCTAGCTCGAACAATTTAGAATACCGTAGAAATTGGATTATTACAGAGTCAGATGGGAAAATGTGGATAATACTTTCACAATATTAGCCCAGGATATCGATGCGAAAAGGGGGGCGATATCTTGAGAAGTTGGCGCGTTTCGAAGAATTCTATCGGCGGAACACATGGAGACTAGAGACCAGGAGGACGAGCACAATGTTGCAGAGGTTTCCTCAAAATCGGATACAGATCTTTCTTTGTTCGGCGGCGCCACATTCGCTTAGGGACCACTACTTGAATAAAGCGCGGGCATGGATTTAAAGACATACAATTGCAATACGGTTACATTGTCCAAATGAACTAAGGTAAAATATTCAGTGAATATTTTATCTATAAAATACTTTTATGGACATTTATTTGTGACATGTGTAAGTACTGCAAATAAAAAAGAAGCAGTTTTGGCTCGGTAGAACGTGAAGTTTCCCCGAGTTTTCAATTTAACAGGTCTCTTGTGTTGTCCGAGATTCTCGAGATTGGGTACTCTATGTTGGTCCCTTAGCGATAGCGTTGTCACCTATTAAATAACTAAATTAAATTTTAAACAATGTTCCGTATCCTTTTTCGCGGACACGAGTTCCTATAAGGGATCCTATGCAGGTTGTTCTCCTGGTCTCTGATTTCCATGGCGGAACAGGTGGAGACGCTATTTAGAGAGTTCCGCTCACCGAGGGTCGTGTAGACGGATAGCCCAGCATCCGGAGGATAGGGGAATTGCGGTGGCAAGGACGGCGATCTGGACGTAGACAGATAGGGGGGTGTAGCTGCACCCAAGTAACCACGTGGTGGACCACCGCCACCGCCGCTCCCTCCGCCTCCGGGACTCGCGCCCTCGCCGTCCATCCCCATGTTCACCACGGTCCCGTAACTGTCGTTGCTCAAATCTGGAATAAAAATATCAAAAATATTTTAGTCAATTGCACAAAACTAATTGCAAGTCGGTTAACCTCGGAACGTTCATACAATGGGGTAAAGAATGGGCACCGTTCAATGAAAAGAATTCCCGCAAATTCAAAATGGCGATCGACCTTCGCGCAATCTTCACGGTTGTAGAATAACATTGGTCATATCTAGACATACAGGTTTCATAAATGTAGGAAAAAAAAATCGATCGTTACGTGCGTTGAATGTGAATTATCTACACTAAAGAGAAGTATTAATTATTCTGAAATATTCTTTCGTGAAATGCTGTTACGAGTTTGGTACTGGATTGTCTTGGGCATAATTACTCTTACTTTTTACTTTCATTGCGTGATTTACATTCATTATGTGATTTCGAAGTTACATACCGATATTGATTAGATCTTATTTGATTATTTCAGCAAAATCCCTTATCAGTGTATCATTCCTTGGCAATCAAGGAACTTATTTAAAAATTGTGGATTTAAAATCATACATAAAAGCAACACCAATTGTAAATTTACAAAGAAATGGTTAATATTTGCGAATCTCAGGTTGTATCAGTTTCTTATTAGCTTGGAAAAGAAAAAAAAATCGGGTTGCAGGGGGTTAACAAAATTTGGACTATATACACATTTCTTAAGCAATTCGGAGTCAAGGGGAAGTCTATTTAAAAGCAATCACTTATCACGGGTTATTGCGTGCCCGTGACGACGTCGACGTTGGCGTCGAAGTGGATCATCTGCTTCCGATTGTCCGACGAGATATGCCGATGTGTGTCCCCTCGAAACCAACACCGACATCCGAATTTACGTGTGTGCGCGCGTGAGGAAAAAAGATCCGAGGGAAGATAACGCGTGGCATCAAGTAATATCGATAGTTATCGCAAGGGCCGCGTGACTGGTTCAATTGTCGAGTCATGCGATCGCGTTTTGTGAAATTAGGGGATGCCCGGGTGTGCGCATCCTTAAACACCCCTCCGGGGGGCCAAAACGCGTCGTGATTGGCAATTGATAAAAATTGCCAATGAGCGCCGCATTTACTTGGACAATTTGTTCGATGTGGAGTGCGTTAAGCTCCTTGGACAATTTCTTCGATATGGAGTGCGATAAGCTCTTCGGACAAGTATTATCCCTCTCGGTCACATATTTGAGCAGCCCAGGCTCCTCATCAGTGATTTAGGATTATCACAGTCAAATGTTCATACAACTGATTCACACAACTGAATCACACAAATGATTCATTCGTATCTCTGAATATCGCTACTAATATTTTAGACACTTGCAATTCGGTGCACAACAGGGTGTGCGATGAATTAATTTCCTGCATATTAAGCGTAGAATCGAAGCGGAAAGTGTCGAAAAATAATAGAGAGGAGTTTCATGAATTCCTTTTAATTTTTTTTAAGGGGCTATAACCACTGTGAACGTCGAAAAAATTACACATTTTTGAGGCAAAAGTATGAGTTAAAAACAAAATTTAACCGTGATCGAGGTACGGGCGACAGCCATGTGTTTGCTGAATATAGTGCTAAAATTTCAATCCCATCGGTTCACAGCCGTTTTTGAGAAATCATCTGTGCCATTTTTGCAATGGTGCAAACCATTTGTTTCTTTTGACTACTCTACGTTTGTAAAAATAAATAAATAAATATGTATCTTTTACTAAGAAGAAAAATTGTCCTGTATTCTCCTACCTTAGACCTTTCATGTGGAAAGAAAGTCTGTACCATTATATGCAGTACTTTTTGAGACAAAAAATGGTGAAAAATGTGTAATATTTTCGACGTTCACGTAGTCCCTTAAGGACTCGCAGCCCAGCCGGAGAATAAAGATTTTTTTTTTCTTTTTTCCGGGGGAGTTCTTCAAAGTCGAACGGGAATTTTCCAGGGCATCTCCGGGCTCCGCAATCTCCCCGAAATCACGGATGCCCGGGTTGGCAGTTAGCCCAACGATCTCCTGAATATTTGAAGAGATCAACTTCCCCTCGAGCAAGAGAATGCCTTCGCCATTGCGAGTGGCCGGGATCTCCCTGCGGCCTTCCGGCTTCGCGAAAAACCGAGAACGGCTATAAATATGGCGTCGAATTTCAAGGGGGGGAAATTGCCTCCTGCTTCTTATTCCCAATGGATAGGGCCTCACCGTGATGCCCGAAGGAGGAATCCAGGTCGACTTTGAGCTCGTCTTTGTCCAAAAGTTTGTCGTGTCTGGGCGAATGTCCTCCAGCTCCGTTGCCCTTCATGCTTCGGAAATACTGGGACCATCTCGTCCTGCCCGCGTCCTTCTTCAGCCTCTTTTCTTTCGCCCTCCTGTAAATTAAGAAAGGAAATTAATCACCGATTAGTGTGCCGATAACTCTTATAGAGGTATATTTTACTCGAGCACTCTTATAAGCATTTGATAAAACTTCTGACAGGAGTACGGATCGATTATTCTATGAATACTGATATGTCGTCTATCGGACGATTATTGTTGGACGATTATTTGTGTAAGTGCTGATCTTCCCGTGATATGGGGATACTTGATAAGTTATCATAAAGATCTGGGCTCGTTCAATGTCGGGGGAGGTAGAAAATGCCGCTTCTGGATATGTACCCGTACGCTGGCGAAAATCATAAAATACGCGTACTCTGGATTTATGTACCACTTGCGAATGATTACCGTGTAAACAGTCTGAAATTACAGGCTGTGAAAAAGGTTGGCAGTTGGCTCTAGGCGCAGGTGAAAATATTTTTAAAGGTCTACGTCGTGAGTGTTTTATCGCGCACTCGCGAGAGCTCGAAACGAGTCCTAGGGCAATTAGCTGCTTGTATTTCTTCGATTTTTTTGACGTCGGGTTCTTCATTGGTTATTCTAAAATGTTAATGTTACTTGTTCATCGCCTGGATACTGAGTACAAAGCGTGGGCCAAAATTGGAGATAAATAACCTGCATTGGGGTAATTAAATTTGGACGATTTCGATAATACATTGATTTATGGAATATGTAGATTAAAGAAAAAAATGCTTAGCTTTTTTGGTATTTTGTTTGCATCAAGTCAGATGTCTCAGAGATGTACATTAATTTAAGGAAAATATGAGTGAGACAGTGTTTGTCAATTATTTTTTAAACGTTGCCTGTCAATTCTGTAGATGCAATCTATTGTTTAGTATTTTGCGGAACGCTTCTAGTGAGAGAGGGTTTCTATTTGTCTAACAAGAGTTCGCTCCTTAGACAGTAAACGCAGGTCTGTACAATATTGATTCATCCCCTAGTGATAACTCTTGGATACCTCGCCGCCATCTTGCGTGCAGAGAACCCACGCCACCCTTAGCCAGAGGCATTTTCTCAAAATACATTGAAATGTTGAATTAACATTCGATCCTACTCAACGTGTAATTTTTAAAAAGACATTGTCATTCGTTAATTTTCCAAGAAGAACAAAATCTTCGCTAGTTGCTCCAATAAGGAAAGTATTTCCTAAAGCAATTCTAAAAAGGGCCCGAAGCCATTTTCGCGAGAGTAATGAATTTCAAAACAATTGTTTTCTACTTTCGCAGGCGAGCGTTTAATGGCTTCCGAAACCGGCGCTACCGGGAATCCTTACGGGATAAAGGCAATTTCTCGTCCTCGTATCCTAAATCTCTATTGCGATTTCCTCCTGTTCTCGAATATACTTCAAGTTGTTTCCTAAGCCGATTGCCTCGTTTCGTTAACCACTCATCATGTTCGTGTAAGAACTATTAAAGTGCCCAGCCTAACCGAATTGAATCGAATTAAATTAAAATTTGAAGGAACAAGATGTTCACTTTCACTTTCTTGTTATTAATCATTATTACGTTACAACATTACGCGTTTTGCTAACCACCCATCACGTTCGTGTAATAAGTATTAAAGTGCCCAGCCTAACCGAATTAAATCGAAGTAAATGAATAGCTAAAGGAACAAAATGTTCACTTTCAATTTCTTATTATGAATCATGATTTCATATCGGTAGCTCGAGGAATCAGTTTTGAATGAATCCTCACCTATTTTGGAACCACACTTGAACAACGCGCATGTCGAGGCCGGTGTCCTGCGAGAGTTGTTCGCGAACATGCCTCGCTGGTTTTGGACTATTGTTGTATGCCAACTTCAGGGTTTCCAGTTGCTTTGCCGTGATGGTTGTTCGCGGTCTCTTGTTCGGCTGATCGCCGTCTATACTTCCACCGTCCGCTAGTTCTGCAATCACGAAACATTTAATTACACGTAATACTACAAGCTATACAAATTAACCTTCAATATCTTTCATTACAAATCTTGGGCACGTCATTTCCAACAATATTAAAACAATTCGACTCATATTATTGAGACGAAATCTAGAAAAAGTTAACCCTTCTACGTTTTTAAGTGCCATTGCTGAACTCGGCGCATGATTAAATTTCTTTTCAAGGTAATTGAGATATATATCACGGGCAATGTGATAAATCGGGCATTGTTCAGAATACCCGCGCAACGTGATACATTTTTTACACATTACCCGGGCATTTAATAAAACTCCCGATTTATAACGTTGCCCGTAAAGTACATAATAAATTTCTCTCGTATAATTCTTCGAAATACACGAAAGAAAAGATATTTCAATCGCTAGTATAACCGATAGCATTATCGATAAAGTTTTCTTCTTATCGGAGAGACAATTATCCTAACAGCAAAAATGTTTGCAACTGTATCAAACGCAGATGTAACCGTAGAACTTCCTTCTGAATAAATTCTTGCTAAATTAGCAAATAAGCGTGCAGCGACAATAACAAAAAAAAAACATGTCGTTACTCCTTGATCAAATGAGCGATATATAGTTCGTTGACGCTGGTAAAAAATATTGCAACCGTGAATATAATTTGTGTTGCTCCAGTCATTTTTTTTTCTTCTGTTCATGCAGCAAATCAATTTCTGCAATAAGATTTTACTGGCCCACGTTTAAGTGTATACATTTACTGAAGCGGTTCAACATTTTGTACCACGACTGAATTATTTTTCCGTTCGTAGATTAATAGAGGGAAGTCTTACCCTTAGCTTTAGCTTGCTCGTAATCGGGCTTGCAGATGAGCTTCCGGTCCTCCATGAGGTAGAATTCGTCGCCGGTGTCGAGCTGTCGCGAGCAGAGCGCGCAGGAGAAGCAAGTCAGGTGGTAGACCAGCTCCTGGGCTCTTCGAACGACCTGCGAAGGTGCCAGGCCTTGCCCGCATCCCGCACACTTCGTCCCGAAGCGCCTGCCAACACCAACAACAATATTTTGACATTACATTCACACATTTAGATCAAATCGTTGGGCGCTATCGAAACCTCGCGGCGTTCTTCTTGCGAGCCGTTCTCGAGCGATAAAGATAACTCGTTGCAATTTTCCTTTGCCAAATAAAAAAAAAAAAACACGATGTAAATATTTATGCCGTATAGTTCTTTAGTGTAATGTTATAAATGTAAGGACTGTTCAGTGGTACTAATTGCAGGAGCTTTTCGATAATTTACGCGCGTTATCAGCGCCGCTCGATGCGAACTACCAGGTTGCACGCCTCTCCGCCGCCAGGGAGGATGTAGAGGATTCACCCAGAGGGAGGTACCTTGGTCCAGTCAATGCGTTACGTAATTTGATGGTGAATCGTAAAGTCGATCCTTGTTAAACCTAATTACGTAACACCGCTGCCGAGGTGCGGCCTTCCGACGTAAATCGCGACCGAGAACCGCTCTAAATGCGGCCGAAATGTTTCCTTCGGTTTAACGGTTTCAAGTAAAGCAATCATGTTAACAATTATTCGCTACCACCGATGATAAGTTAACCAATATAAGATTATAAAAAAAGATCAATTACGTGGCTTATCAATTTCATCCTGACACGACGTATTTATCCTGCATTTGTGGTGGACTTTAAAACGGACCACGTGGTCGATCTGTCAAACTTTTGCGAGGCGTCAAGTTCTTTTTTTAATCTTTTATTCAAAGCCACTGCCTAAGGTGAATCTCTCCATTCAGGGGAAAACGGCATCGGTCGTCGACGTCGACAATATCATTTGATGCTTACTTGAAGAAGTCGTCCTTGCAAAACACGTGACCGTTCCTTGCGAAGCACGTCTCGGACAATCTCGCCCCGCAGTCGCGGCACGTCAGGCATCTCGCGTGCCAACACCTTTCCAAAACTCTCAGGACGTACCGGTCCAGGATCACCTCCTGGCATCCCGCGCACTTCGGAATCGAGGCTGCAAGAAAAGTACGGAATCGCGTTGAAAAATAAATAATAGTCATTGCGATCAATTAGACCAATCAATTAAACCAATTTTTTTGTTTTCCTTAGCGTACTCTGTATCTTAAAAACCAATTCAACTTTTAGTTTCATATTTTTAATACGGTCCCAACACCCTGTTTCATTATAATATAACCGTTACATCTTCGCAACATGTGTTGTAACATACATGTTACATGTACGAACAATTTATATTACTATTGCCTGCGTATTAATACTGTTATAAAATGCATAATATAGCATACAGCTAACATATCGGTGCCACATTACGTTATACGTTAATAATATATCATTGAAACGTCGACGGATTTGTAACGATGTCACGGAATGATAATAATTCGATATTATGTGATACCAGGGTATTTTTTGAATAACTTTTGTTATATAGTATGTTGTGCAACTGTAACATATTGTGCTCGATGGGGTGATTAGTCTTGATACACTACGTGTTTTTCATAGGTAAATATCGTACATAGACATTATCACGGGTGTTTAGGGTGCAATAACTGCAGACTCGGCTTTCATTCTGGCGTACACTATGTATGGGAATTTAGGAAGATTTTTCAAATAGGTGTGCACAAAGTGTGCGTCGCAAACAGTAGGCAAACGCGTACCTCGTATTATGCCCGCAGGGGCGGTTACTTTTTATTTTTCAAACATCGCGCAATTTTTCGGTTGTTAAAAACGGGTCGATACTTACATAGCAAGACCTCGGGAATATTGGCAGGCAATCCGAGCCGCGCTGCTGCTCGTTCTATAGAGTGCATGCCGAGATGAGCATTATTCAGCCCGTTATTAATGTGAGACTCTGGACTGCTTTGCGGGGGTGTCAGAACCTCCCCTCTGCCGCCATACATCCCCTCCAGCGACAAAACTTCGCAATCCAACATTGTTGCGTATATATGTACATATGGTATAATCTTTAATTATGGTTTTAATTTGTTACTCGCAGTTTAATCCCCTCGGCATCCCTCGGTCAGTAACAGGGGTTGAAAATAAATGATAATTCCTCAATAATTATTTTTTATCAATATGAGGATCACAGTTCAAGTTTGACGTTTGTCCAGTAGCTACTGAGCCAACGATATTAAAGCTTCCTTTCTTCGAGTTTGAGGATGTAGAATTAGAATGGATTCTTCCGATTTTCCGGGGGTACTTAAAATCGATTTGCGTCTCGCTCCACGTGTCTTTCGTTTTGTACATCAAGGAACAGACTTCTTTAAATCAATGTATTTCTCCTAAGTTCAATGCGAGTCTTTCATAGCACCCCGCTCACTCATATCATTCACTATAACGTGACGAAATAAGACTACTGGCCCCGAGATACATAAAAATGAAGATGCCCACATTTGATTTAACGTCCACTTGTAAGTGCCGATCACTATCCGATAACATCGATCACAATCTTACAGCCTCACAAAGGCATACCGAACAGCTGCCATTGACCATAGCGGGTTAATTCGATAATTGGTCAGTCCTTAATTGACCGCGTTCACAGGTTCACTACTATTGTTTTCAGTTCCAACAATATATTTATTATATATGTCGCTTGCATCTTTGTTTGTTAGGCCGATAATATGTTAAATTTTAATAATCGAGCCTCCAGTTTACCGAATTCAATCGGAAGATCGACGGCGATGATCATTAGACATTTACGCCGCGAGAGCACGCGCACGACTGAGCGCCGCCGCTGTGGCGAGGGCGCACGTGACTTCCATGGGAGTGTCATCGAGTGCGCGGGAGTGGGGTGGGGTGAGGACGGGAGGGACGGGCGGCAGGGGTGATCGGGTGTGGCCGCCACCCCCGCAGGGGATTGGCGGAGCCATTGGCTGCCCCCAGTATGGCGCGCGGCGCCTCCACGCTCAAAGGGGCTGATAACGCGGCGGATGGTGGGGGAGGGCATCGGGGGCGGGAGGCCGAGAAGCGGATAATCAAAGGCATCCGAAATACAGGAGGCTCTGCATAAGTTGAATTTGGGTGATGAGGTTAGGAAAGGAGTCGCGAGGGGAAGGTTCCGGGGTGGACGCGCCTTTGAGGAGGACTAAATCGGGAAGGATTTCGACTTCCTTTAATGTAGCGATTTTTGGACGTCGTGCATGTACTGTTTTGTTAAAAATAATCTATTACCTGTTTACTAGCAACCACGTTCTGCTATCAAAAGGTTTCTTCTACGGAGTACTAAATATATATGAAATTCACTTTCTTAATCCGTTCACTTATTAATTCTTCACACGGCTCTCGACCAAGTCTAATGTACCTAGAAACGGTTTTTCGTCGTTTAATCGAAAGGACAGATCACGTGTCCTGGAATATTCACAAGGATTCACGTGTACACTAAATATGATCGTCGTATTTAAAAAAATTCGAGGGTTTCATCTTTTGGACGGAATCGCAATGTTGACGTTGCACGTAGAATTACGCGGTGTGAAAAGTCGCAGGTTGAAACAATCAATTGTCAGTATTTATTTGTGTAGGGTCATCGTTAACATGAGATGAATTATCTTATAAAGCGCTAATTCATTTTGATGTGACGTTCACTTTCGTTGTTTGATAAATGCTTCACTTTTCGCTATTCATTTATGTAGCACTGTTCTTTCCCTTTAAAACAATACATTGTTTAACGTCGTGGCACGTTTGAGCCGTGAACAGTTCGAACGTACGCGGATAATGGATTTTTCGTGACGTTTTCATGTTGAGTCGTTACTCCATGTACAACGAGAACAAATACATAATTCTACGTTAAAATCGCCTTGCCACGCATCTTGTATTTACTATTCATCATTGAGGTAGAGTTTCATTAATCATCCGATAGCCGATGCCGCAAAATAATTTAATCATCCACGATCCTATGCCAATTGTGCATGAAATTAAACACCGCAACACATATCATTGAATTTACAGTATATCTAAATTGTTATAGTTTGTTACAATTAAATAACAGCAGGCTGAATTAATTACCGTACACCGTTTCGATCGAAGGGATTAATTACCGCACTGATTGTTTGTGTTAAATCACGTGGGTGAAGTCTGTAAATGCATTTTAGCACAGGAACTCCATCGCTTCAGTTAATTGAGGATTCTCGAGTCGACGTATCGTCCCTACAATCACGGCGCCGAGCAAATCGTGATCTACGGCGGCACAACGGGGAAGTTTCTTACGGCAGTTAGGAAGGAACCCGACGTCCCTTTTTCCACGACTCGATAAATTTGCGAAAACGTCCGGAGAACGGAGAACTTGCTATCCCCGCTGGGAGAAAAACACGACTTTGTTAAAAGCCGCGTCGAAGAAACGACGACGAACGGAACGGACGGGGAAGTTTGAAAAGCTTTCAGCCGATGAGAATTCTTAAATGACGTTTTCCAGAGATCGCTCGCGGTATTTGCAGATATGTAGTATGACAATTGCGTCGTTTTCACAAAAAGCATGGTTACCATCAGTTGGAGCTAAGTAAATTGATTGATAAATGTGTAGCATGATTAATGACGTTCGGTGTAACGAAAATTAGTCTGTACATTGAATAGAACATTCAGCCTTTCAGATACTTTTACGAAATGAATAAATATTAATATGCATTTAAATGCGTTTATTCTTTAGCCTGAAGCGGCAAATCGATGCCGATTTCGTGAATTCATTCGCCATTCGCTTTGATATTTAATTTTTCATGCCGTTTATGTCAAATTGCTCTTCGAAATCTTGAATGCGTCGTTTCGCCTTGCCTCCGAGGAATAGGGGGAAATGCAAATCCTGGAAAGACATCCGAGAGGAAAGCGTCGCGCAAAAAATGGCTTTTAGAAGCTCGACTTCCCCAAAGCAGGGGATAAGGTTATTCGAAGGGGGACTAAGGGGAAAGGCCGAAAGGAGAGTACAGGGGGCTGGAAAAGAAGCGAGCGAAATTAAGAAGTACCGAAGGGATGGGGTACTCCATTTTATAATCTTACCCCGTGCAGCTCGAATATATAACTATACGTTTCCCTTTCTCTTTTTCTCTTTCTCTCCCTTATCCGGCTGCTTCGGAGATGCAGGCATCTCGTATCTCTCTCCGTCGTGTTCCCTTTTACGCAGCATCCGATCTCGACCTCTCTCTCGTTTTCCCGGAAAATGTTTCTTCTCTGAAATACGGGAAGCATACGGACGCGCAGTATCTTGTAATATATGTCTTGTAGCATATAGTTACATACATGCCGTAAATACATACACGTCTACCCGTATTTATATTCGAAGAAATTTTGTCCCGGAGAAAAGCGTCCCGCGTTTGAATTTTCAACAAAAAGGAAAGAATTGTGCGTCTCCTTTTTCTTCTTCTCTTTTAAGGCGGGAAATGACGATATTACATATTATATATTCCGCAAATATATTTATTCCTACCCCGTAGTTATATTTGAAGAAATCTTATAACACTAAGCATTCCGTTTTTGTATTTCGAATGAAGAGGTCTTCTGTTCATTCTTTTTTTTTTTCCTGAAAGTTAGACAATCTTCAAATTACTTATGGAGTTTCTGGACTGACAGGAAAGAAGTGGCATTGAAGGCGTGAGTAATGACATACTGTATGCAAAGCCCGGAGATCTATTCCAATGGTGCAGCAAAGGGGATGAAACGAGAGGGTGAATGGCGTTCGAATTTGACAAGGGGCTCGAGAGTTTGATGCCTCCGGTGGAGATTAAATCGGAATATCGGCTATTTAGCGAGTCCATTGCAGATATCGTTCAAAGGTACTTAAAGAGATACAACATTTCACTTGCCATGCCATGCTGTAGGCACAGCTTGTTTAGGTCTCTTGTCAACGAATCGACATCACATAAGGAGAACCCACACATTGCCGGTTTTGATGTATAATTTGATTTTATATTGGCATCATAATCTAAAACAGCTCATTTCCATTTTTCAATAAAAAATATACCCTTCCCCGTATATGTACGTAACAAATTTGAAGATGAAACCATTGAACACTTATTT